TTAACCATCGCAAGACACCTCCCACATGTTCTTCCTCATAAATGCCCAGTTGTTGCCTTAAATAAAGATCCATCTCTGTAGCACTTGAACCAATTAATCGCCACCAACTCTAACCTCTCTGAAGATCATCTTCCTCAAGCCGTCAACATTAGGAACACCGATTCAATTCTGAACCACCGCAAACCGTGATCTCTAACAGCCGCTCCCCAGCACCATTTCACAATACCCCGCCCCTATGGCGAGTTGAAGAAGACCATAACACCGGCGATCTTAATGCATTTGATGATAGGCTATAATTACGTATTTTAGTCGCTTATTACACTCAAATTTACTGCACTTTAATTGAGTTTGAGCTTTAATCGCTAGTGTCTTGTACTAATTGTGTGTTTTATGCCTTGTAGGAGTGATTCCGAGCTATATAGATGTCATGGAATGAATTCAAGTGATTTGGAGCTTTAAAGTCTGAGTAAAAGCCCAAGGAATTAAGCCGGGATCGTATTCAGGGATCAACAGATGATAGAGCAACAAAACGAAGAATCGAGTAGGCATATTGCGCACTGTCTAGTAAAATGCACATAACCTTTTACTCAGAAATCCATTTGGGCTGCAGAATATATGGTTGGAAAGCTAACTCAAAGGGTACAACTTTCATGTTTTACGTTTTTCTAAATTCCAAATGGAACAGGGTGAAAAACGCGGTCGAAACTGCGACTGCGGACCTGAGACGGGCTGAGGCAGTATACTTGCCATATACCGTGTTCTTACCGCAGTTGACCACGACCGCGACGTCCAGACCTGAAAAAATTGTCCTTTTTCGCGTAGGAAAAGGTATAATAATTTGGGCCCGACCCTACTTGGTATATATACATGGAAAAACGGTATTTTTGAGTAGAGGAGACCAATTTTTGACACACTTTTGACATAATTTAGACCTAAGGAGGCTAAGGAAACCGGGGATTCGACCTAAGGAGTCAAGAACACACTGGGAGCAAGGCGGAGAATTCTTCAACGAGTTTTTCCTTCCTCTTCCTATTTTTCATTGTTGGTTATAATTTTTAGTATTGTAGTTTTACATACTATTATGAATAGCTAATTTGTTATCTAGGGTTTTGATGGAACCTTTTGTAGGATACATTCTTGCTATGTTTTTATATAATTGAGCCGTTGGATTTCTCTACTTGTTCAACTACGTGTTTATTGTTGTTGATTGAATGGCCATCGATTGACTGTGCCTATTTATTATGTGTTGCTTGAGAAAGGATACGTATTTAGGTAGTTGTTGAACAACATCACTCCTAACGTATGTGAGAGATCAATACGGAGGGTTTAAAGGCGGGATTAGAGATAACGAAACCTTGGTGCGATCGTAGTGAGCAGTGAATTAATGTCAGCTAGTGTAGTTCGAGAGAATACATCTAGTAAATTATGGTAGTTGCTCGAGAGAGAATTACGACAACCAAAGTACTCACAATCGGTAGAGAATACATTAGCGAAATTGTAGGGAACATAGCTAGAAGGATTCCGACAATTGGGAAAATCATAACTGTAGCCTCCTTAATTTAGTCTCCAACTCTTTCTCTCGTTAGTTGATAATTTTACCGCTTTGTAGTATTTGCTAGTTAATCAGTTAGAAATATAAATCTCAATCTTTATAATTTAGAAAATTATTCAATCTTGTCTTCTTAGTGATATTAAACAGATATAGCTAAGCCTTAGTTCTCTGTGGGATTCGACTCCGGACTTTTAGACCGGATTATATTTGCAGCGACCGCTTATCCTTTTTAGGACTAGAGTTGGGCGTGATCACAACAAGGACGACGACACCACCTCTCAGATGAAAATTCCACCACGCTCGGAAATACAAATTCTCGCTACTCCATTAACACATACCTGAACATTCATAGTCCGATTGCCTTTCCTCTACCGGAACTAAATGTTGAACCTCTAAGTCGTGAGTTGAGAAATCCTTCTATCAAGTCATTCCTGCCCCGACACATAGACAAGCATCTTGCCATTACATCAATACTGTGCGATAACACTCGTGAACATCATAGCAACCTGTACATAGCCTCCAAACCATAAGAAATACAACTATCGAGCTGAAATGACAGAACATCCTTCCACAAGGCGACGACCAATAACTAGAAATTTTAATGCATTTTACACTCCTTCTTACTTGAGTTTTGATTAGAAATGTGTACAAAATAGTCCCAAAGGCTTACGTGTTGTACTTGATTGCAGGGTTTGATCAACAAGGTGACTATTCGTCAAAAACCAGCTCAAAAAAAAGGAGTGAAACATGCACAAGTACCAAGAACAAGTTCAAGCTCAGAAAACAGGACCAATGCGGCCGCACTGGATTCTGTGCGGTCGCAATGAAAGATTCAGAGTGCTAAATTCCAGGCAGCCAAGTGATGCGGCCGCACTGCATTCTGTGCGGTCCGCATTGACTTCATTGCGGCCACACTCGATTTTGTGCGGTCCGCAGAGCTCAACTTCAGAGAGTGTCAAATTGGAGGATTATGGCCGATGCGGTCCGCGTTCCATTTTGTGCGGACCGCAACAGGAGCCACCGCGGCCGCGGTGCATTTTGTGCGGTCCGCGGTGGCCATGATCAGAGAGCAAGAATTCCAGTTGAAAGCCTTAGTGCCGCCGCACTCGATTTTGTATGGTCCGCACTAGCCCCGCAGGGGTATTTTTGTCCTGAATTTTCGGCCTAGTATAAATAGTTTCTTTTCCCATTTTTAGGTTATCAGTTAGGATATACAGCTGAGCTGCGCTCGTGAATAGTGCTTTCTTGCCATTTGGAGTAGTTTTACAATAGCTTTACCATTGAATCTTTAAGTTTTAATTAGAAATTTAATTTTATGGGTTTATCTTCATCTATTTCTTTGTTTTTCTCTATTAACATGAGTAGCTAGACCCATCAGCTAGGGTTGTGGCTCAACCCTAGTGTGGGTAATTGATTAGTCTTGTGTTTTAAGGTTTGAATGTCTATGGGTGTTTGATATTTGGACTAATTTATGGTTTTATTGTTGAATTAATGGTTGCAAACACTAGTTTATGCTTTGTTGATTTTGGCTCTTCTTGAGAAAGAGAGCCTAAGTCTCTAGAATTAGTCCAATAAGGAATTGGGGCGTACTCAAGAGAATTGATAGCCCCAATTAAAGGGTTAAATCGAGAGATTGTAATACCCGACTTGAACCTCAATTGCTTGCACAAATGATCATACCCAATTGATCTTGAGAAAGTCAATTAGGGCAAAATCACTCGAACTACCGAGAGGTATAGAGTGAGTAGAATCGTGCAATGGTTATATCGTAATCCCTAAATATGACAACCTAGCCTTAGACACGAAAACCCGTTAATTATCCACCTAGGTGAAAGTCACTCCTCTAGTGCCTTTTAACTAATTAGAACATCTTCAATGGTCTTCTCTTAGCTTAACGTAGCTCAATTTAGCACATTGGTAGTATAAATTTAAAAGTTAAATCAAAAACCAAAAATGTTTAGAAGTTTAATTAGGAACAATTACGCAATTCCAACTTAGATAGAAACTCAATTCCTATTTCTAGCTCCCTATGGAAATCGATCCCGACCTTATCGGGTAAAAGCTGCTTCGACTTCTCTTGCTACTTTATAGTAGTACAGGGTTGGCCCCGATCAACGACATTAGCCCAATCAAATACGCGGGGAGAAACATCATGCACCACATCTGCAGTTCCATTACCGTTCCTCGATTCCCAATTGATAACAAGCACTTCGCGTCGCATAAGATTGAATAGGAAAGAAATAAAGGCATAAGCCTCAAAGGAATCAAATCGCACGATGAGTAATCAAGAAGGGAAGTGCTCCTAACAGCCCTGTAGCCTCTCGAAGATAAGTACAGACATCTTCGTACCGATTCGCAAGACTACTAGACTTGCTCATGACTCGTAAGACCTAAGTGAACCTAGTGCTCTGATACCATATTGTCCCGACCCAAAATTCACTAAGGTTGTGATCGCGCCTAACACCGCCGTCAGGCAAGCCAACGGTGAATGATTAACTTAATTACTCCTTTTAGTATTTGAAATCATAATTTTCATTAATTAAAGAGTAAGCAACAGAATTTACAGGGTAAGTGATAATATTTACACGAACTACAATAATGAACAATCCCGTAAGAACCCCCAAAACCCGGTGTCACAAGTACATGAGCATCTATTAATAAGTACAACAATAATACAACATTCGTCTGATAATATAAGTTAGACGGGGAATATAAATAACTCTGATGGAGACTCTGTATGTTGCAGATCGTATCAAGGAAGTGCAGCTCACCGAAGTCCCTACAACAGTCGCGCCTCTGCACCTAGAGGACCACCAGAAACATATATGTATACCTGCACAATAAGTGCAGCAAGTGCAGCATGAGCACATAAATTAACGCGTACTAGTAAGTATCTAACATAATCCCAGAGAAGTACTGACGAGGGGTCAACATCGACATTTACTAGTGGTCCAATAAGACAGATACAGTAAGAAGTAAACAGATATGGGGCAGAGTAAATAAACGAGATAAACAAGTATAAATACGTGGTACAATCCTTCTCTCAACAATTAAACTCAAACTCTCAATTAGCAGTTACCTCCTCCATCGGAGTGTGTGTGTGTGTGTGTACTATATATATATATATATA